AATTGTACCAAATTTAGTATTATATAGTACTTTTCGAGCCTTTAAGAGCACATTTCGAAACCTTCTTCCGTTTCTCAATCTTACACTTCGCCAGTAATGTTAATTTCAAGTTTCAGGATTCCAGATCTATCCGTTCCTTAAAATTCAATTTGTACTAAATTTAATACTACCATATTTATTACCTTTAAATGCATTTCGTACCGTTCTAGTACGAATTTCCAAAAACCCAGCCTTATCTGACCCCTTCGGATCAAGAGTGACCCTCACCCAAAATTTAAATATTCTAGCTTCAGCTGTTTCATCTGGGTGTTAATGAACCTTTAAGTCTGTCAGACTTTATAACATTTAAGTGAAGAATGAGGGCCACTCTACTCCTACCTTATTACTGGCCATAGTAACAAACCGACCCTAATATATTACCATGATTTAATGTAGAGTGTTTCATTTATAAATTGTTGCCCCAATATTTATTTAGTTTTTATTTTAATTTGTAATAACACTTTACATATGTATGGACACATTCACTCACACACACACATACATCTGCTGATCATAATCATGGATATGGTGTTAAATGTAAATATTGATTTTAGAACTCAATGAATATTTGTGCCAACTTGCGTGTGAGCATGTGTGTGTGTGTGTGAATTTGTAATAAAATAATTGCATGTTATAGATACTAAATAAATTATTCTTTTGGGCTATATAAAATGTTAGGGAAATATTTAGATTGTTTTTATTTTATTTTATTTATTTTTTTTTTTTTTTTTTTTTTGAGGGACTACACAAATGTGTACAATAATTTACTTAATTGATTGATGTGTGGCATTGTTTTCAAAATTTGTGTTTAGCTTTTGTTGTAAATAAAAATTCCAATTTTTAAATTGAGGATTATTTTTTGAACCAATGACATTTTGAAATATTTTTTATTTTTTGGATTAAAATTTAAAACAGAATACCGATGTCATTTATATGTTAAGGTAGTGTAGTTGTTTTTATACCCTCCGCCGTAGTATGAATATGAAGGCATTTTAAGTTTATTACTTCATTTGTAAAAAAGTCACATTTTCAATTAAAATTTTCATAAATTTTCAATAAAAATGAAAGTCGGCATTTCTTGTTCCCAGTGGGCAGAAAATATCTTTGCATCCAGGGTTACTGTTGGGAGTTATAGTTGGCTGTCTAAGACATTCCCCCACTTCCCGAAGTTAAACCGCGGCCTATATAAAAAAGGAGACCTATATTGACTAAAATCCGCATGAGTAAATCTTCCCCACAGGGAACCCGACATTTTAAATAACAGCAGATATGGTTGAAAATTTGGACAAAAAAAAATCCAGGATTTATATTGACTAAAGTGAACCTACATTGACTAAAATCTGCATGAGTAAATCGTCCCCACAGAGAAGCCGACATTTTAAATAACAACAGATATGGTTGGAAATTTGGACAAAAATCCTCGAAAATACCAAAAATTACAAGGCACCGTGGACCTCATTTTGGCAGAGCTCTAACATGATTTCAACTGACGATCAGTCCGACGAATATGGCTAAATCGACACAGATTATTTCAAGGACCTATATTGACTAAAGTGCACCTATATTGACTAAAATCCGCATGAGTAAATCTTCCCCACAGAGAAGCCGACATTTTAAATAACAGCAGATATGGTTGGAAATTTGGACAAAAACCTCGAAAATAACGAAAATCAGAAGGTACCGTGGACCTGATCTTGGCAGAGTTCTATGATGATTTTAACTGACGGTTAGTTCGACGGATATGGCTAAATCGACACAGATTATTTCAAGGACCTATATTGACTAAAGTGCACCTATATTGACTAAAATCCGCATGAGTAAATCTTCCCCACAGAGAAGCCGACATTTTAAATAACAGCAGATATGGTTGGAAATTTGGACAAAAACCTCGAAAATATCAAAAATTACAAGGCACCGTGGACCTCATTTTGGCAGAGCTCTATCATGATTTTAACTGACGATCAGTCCGACGGATATGGCTAAATCGACGCAGATTATTTCCAGGAGTCCGTCTGTGGTATTCACGCTAGAGTCGAAACGAATTAAGATATGAAGCAAAATTTTCAATGTCTGAAAATTCACGCAAGGAGTTTCTTTCCCCCTGCAAGAGTATTGTCTATATAGATATCGATATCGTGTATCCACCACATAACGGTACCTCCCTGTACTCGGTGTTTTGATGCTTGCAGCTCCCTTTTTTAATGGAATTGTCTGAAAATCCACACAAGAAGATCTTTCCAAGTACTTTACCCCTCTATAAGAGAATTGTCTATATAGCTCCACGATAATGTATAAGCCCTATACAACGGTATCCCCCGATATTCGGTATTTTATTATGACTTTAGGGCATCATTCACCAGAAGTGTTTTAAATTTCGTATTTAGAGAACCTAATTGGTGATAGCCCCCATATATGGGTACCTCCCTATATTCGGTATTTTTACGATTTTAGCGACATTATTTATCGGAATTGTTTCAAATTTCGTACTTGTAGTTCGTAATGGGTAAAAACATTCTGTCACCGAAAATTGTCTATACAGGTTCAGGTCTTCGTATAGCCCCAATATATGGGTACCACCCTATATTCATTATTTTGCTGATTTAAGCTACACTATTCACCGGATTTTTTTTAGGTTTCGTGTTTGGATATTACAATGGCGTATGACAAAAATTGCTATGTAAATCCACGTCTTCGTATAGACCTCAATAATATTTTAAGATTTATTAAATTTAATGGATTTTATTTTTTGAAAAATTTCTAAATTCGTCCCAATTGTGTAGGCCTAGCCGAACTTACTGCTTTTTTACTTGTATTTTTTTTTTTCTTTGAGGTATAAGGAGGGGTTAGCAGATATATATCATCTTCATAAGAGATATTGAAAATGTTTGTGCGTGTAAAATTTGAAGAAAGTTGAATGCTTATTTCACATTCTTAGAGCGTTTTGTTTTTCTTGAACCCAATGTGGGGGAGGTATCAGAAGGAATGGCCCCATCTCTACCATCTTTATAAATGATCTGGTGTTAATGGAAATATTGAGATGTGCCAAATCTGAATGGAATCGGATGTTAATATCGTGTTTTATGAGATTCATAGATATTAAAATTTTTGAACATTTACGGGAGAGGTACCAGAAGGAATGAGCCGATATGTTCCGTATTCACACCAGACCTTGGGATAATAAATTTATTGTGATGTGTAATGTGAAGACAATCGGACACTTATATCACATTTTATAAGAGTTATAATTAGTCAAAAATTTGACCCTTTGTGGGGGAGGTACTGGTTGGAGTGTACCGATATTGTCCATCTTCGCACATGACCTAGCATTGATGGAAACGTTAGAACTCGCTAAGCTGGAGCAAAATCGGATTATTCATTCTCTTTTTGTGTTGTAATTATACCCTCAGCCATATGGCTACAGAGGGAATATATCATTTGATACGGCCATAACGTGCCTAGTCGAAATAACGGTTATAGACCCTAGGTCTCTTTGGACCAAATCCGTTTCAGAACATTTGGAACCGATCTAGCGATGTCCGTCCGTCCGTCTGTCTGTCTGGCTGGCTGGTGCGCACGATAACTCTCGCAGGGAGTATCCGATTTGGTCCAAATTGGGTACATCGTAATATTTTTCTCAAACTTAGATCCAGTTCGGAGATGGGCAATATCGGTTCACTCCTTCTAGTACCTCCACCCACAAAAGGTCGAAATTTTCAAAAAATATATTTTTTGCACAGAAAGAGAAAGGATAATCCGATTTTGGTCCAACTTTGCAAATCCAAATATTTGCGTCAGTGCTAGGTCAGGTGCGAAAATGGACAATATCGGTCCACTCCATCAAGTACCTCCTTCACAAATGGTCAAAATTTTGAATAATTACAACTCTCATAAAATGTGATGTAAGAGTCCGATTGTCTTCAAATTTCACACATCCTAATATTTGTATTAACCTATGGTCTGGTGTGAACGGGCAATACATCGGTCCACTCCTTCTGGTACCTCCCCTCCAAAATATTGAAATTTTGAGTACCCAGGAAGCTTATAAAACGCCAAATAAACATCCGATTCCATTTAGACTTGGCACATCTGTCGCAATATTTATATCGTATTTTTGGGTCCGATAGGAAATGGGCAATATTGGCCCATTCCTTCGGGACCTGCTCCATGGAGGGTCAAACGTTTGAATAATCTAGTCAAAATATATTTAAATAATCGTGTATAGGCTGAGGGTATATATCTGGCGGCAATACCGACTGATACTTTTTAACTTGTTTTTTTTTTTAATTTTGACCTTTTGCGGGAGATACCAGAAGGAGTGAACCGACAGTGTCCATCTTCGAACTCGATCTAAGTTTGACATGGATCAAATTGGATGCTACCTTTGAGAGATATCGTGCGTACCAGCAAGAAAAACAGACGGACGGACGAAAGAACAGCTCCAGACCGACTCCAAATGTGGGATTTTGTCCTAAGAATCCTATGGTTTAAACCTTTATTTCGATGAGGCACGTTTTGGATGTATAAAAAGATATATACTCTCTCTAGCCACATGGCTGAAGGTATAACAAAAACCTAGAAAAATGTGCGAAATTTCAATATTCTAGCTGTTAGAATGTATGAATGAAGTAGGAATTTTCTACCAATTGCCACCTATATCATAAATTTAAAGATTCTAACCCCATATACGGTGTTTCAAGCCTATTTGTTGTCTTCAGAAAATTTCCAATAAAAAGTTTACTATGTTTAGTAAAAATAAAACAACTTGAAATTTCCCAATTAAATATTATTACCTTGCGGTTAGAATACAAGGTATTTATATCAATTGAGGAAAATATGTTTGGTTTTCAAACAACTTATTTCTAATACTGTCTTCGCTTCGATAAACTATTTGTAACTCCAGCAATTAACCACAAGATTTTTTCCTATATAAATTCAAGTTCTAACTCAGAATCATCAGACACAAATCAACCGTTCCCTTGTCAAGAAGTCAAGTTCATTAGAAATCAAATCAAATTCAATATGAATTTCTTGTATATCTTCGCTGTCGTTGCCCTTATCTTGGCCATTGCTACCGGTCAAATTGAGGCCCGAGGCAAAAAAGGCGGAAATAAGGGAGATTATATTAGAGCTGGCGTAAGTTGAAAAACTTTTAAAATCGACGCTATATTTTGCAAAAACTGAATTAAAAATTATTAAAAATAATTATTTATCCTCCCTCTAGAGCCATGTGGCCGGCAAGGCTGTTGAAGGTCTTGGCGCTGCCGTTGTCGATAAAATTGGTGGTTAAATTCTAATGGAAGTTATTGAAGTTATATGAATTTCTGTAATTTACATCAGTTATAATAAAATTGCAATTATTTGAAAAAAAAATATATTTTTTTAATTTTGAAATTCAAATAAATTTTATTTTCTGAAAATCGCTGCTTTTGGTCAGATGTCCCAAAAAAAAAATTATTTTATGTTTTTATTCTATTGGATAATTTTTCTCCTTCGAGTTGAACTTATAATGCCCTCAGAAGATGACATTGAAAGTTGGAATGTAACAAAATCCCACTCATCAACCAGTATACGATGCGTTACGACGGTGGCTAAGCGGCTTATCAAGCATACAGGGTGAGATTAAAAAGCTGCAACCAACTTCAGACTGCTGCCATATCTAAGCTACTCGTCCGACAGCTGTTAAAATTATTCCAGTGACAGCTCATTATATTATTTACAAGCGTACAAAAGCATTTTGGTGAGAATCCTCCAGAAAAAAAGTTATTCGTGATGGAATTCAAGCGTTATAGTCGCAGTCCGAATAATGGCTCGTGAGTTGAACATATCGCAATATTTCATTCGGCAAATATTGAAAAGTGAGCCCGGGATAAAGTCATTGAAATTTCAAAAAGTGCAAGAACTTACACCGCAAGAGAAAGAAAATAGACTTAAAAGAGCAAAAAAGTTGCCTCGCATGACCGACAGGTGGTGAACTGCCGAATTTGGTTTTCTTCGATGAGAAAACATTCGTTGTCCAACAGTTTGTAAACAAACAAAATGATCGTGTTTACTTGCCAAAGAGGTCAGCTGAAAATGTGCCCCTTCGGTTGGCCACCAGAACTCAAGCGCCGGCCTTGGTGATAGTGTGGGCCGCCATAACAGCCGATGGTCGCTCTCTGCTCTCATTAATCGACCGTGGCATCAAAATAAATGCCAAATACTATCGCGCACCAGCACAGACAATTTTCTATCATAGGCTGTACTATCCATTACAAAATTCAAATACCAAATTTGAAACCATTCCGGTAAATAATGTCGCTAAAATCATCAAAATACCGAATATTGGAGGGTACCGTTATATGAGGGCTATACGAAGACTAGGTCCATGTCTGACTCATTTTCTGTGTTATGCTGTAGTATCTATTAAGAACTTCAAATACCAAATTTGAAACAATTCCGGTAAATAATGTCGCTTAAATTATCAAAATACTGAATATCGGGAGGGACCGTTATATGGGGACTATACGAGGACGTGGATCTGCACTGACAATTTTCTGTCATAAGCTGTAGTATCCATTACGAACTTCAAACACCAGATTTGAAAAATTACTGCTAATTAATGTCGCTTAAACACCAACATACCGAAAAAGCGGTACATGATTCATCTTCAATACCAAAAGTCCTGCTGACATAACATACATTTCGAAAAAAGTACTAAATTTGCCGATATACAAAGGGATACAAAGGGATATTATAGACCAAAGTTAATAATATTGAGGTTTCTCTTGGTATCTGGTGTTGAGATATGGTTGAGATATGAAATAGAACTAAATTTGGTATTGGTTGAAGGGATAGTCTGATAGTATCTATGTTCGAGATTTGGAGGTAATTTGGAAAAACAACCTATTTTTGCACGAAAAGTACTAAATGGTACTTTTTTGGTATTGGTTGAAGGGATAGGGCTGTTAACCTCAATTTTGTAATGCAGGTCTATGTTGTTCGAAAAATACTAATTGGTACTAAATTTGGTATTGGGTAAAGGAATAGAGCTTGTTTACGTTTTGGCCATGTTTTCGCAACTTTATCCAATTTTAGCATTTTGAGGAAAACTCAAAAGTCGGGGCCGGGCCAACTATGCATATTTAGTAGAGCTCCCGTAACAAAATAATTAATTATTTGAACAATAAACCTCAAATCGGATTAAGGATATATATGGGAGCTATACCCAAATCTTCCCAAAAGTATTTCTGAGCTCTGAAAGATATCTTGTACCAAATATCATTGTTGTCGAATGCTTATTACGAATATATCAGAACCGATTTTCTTCAAATTCGACGTACTTGCTTCTGGACAGAATTCGGTCGGATGTACCAAAACTCAGGTCAATAAGAGTGATATTTGCCATTTGGCGCATAATTAAGCTGAAATCGGTTGAAGATATATGTGGCTGATATATCCAAATCTAATCCAATCTTGATAAAAATGGGCAGAGGTATTTCCGAGCTCTATAAGATATCTGGTACCAAATATAAATATTGTTAAATGCATATTACGAATATGAGGTACTTAAAAACCAAGTCGAATGAAACATACATGGGAGCTATAGCTATTTCGGAACGAATTTTCACCAAATTTGGTGTACTTGCTTCTAGACTAAAAATTCTGGTCATTTGTACTTTAATTGGGCATTTGTCGCACAATTAACCTGATATCGGATAAAGATAATTTGGAAATCTCCCAAAAATAAAATCCGTTAAAAATTCTATTAAAATCTTAAAAATACCGTTTTATTGGGGTCTATACGACGTGGACCCACATAGGCATTGTTTGTTATAAGCCATTACCATGTTCAAATTCGAAGCTTAAAATAAACGGTGAATAATGTAGATAAAATCATCAAAATACCGTACATAGGGAGGTACCGTTATATCGGAGCTGTGCGAAGACCTGGACCAGTATAGATAATTTTCTGTCATAGGTTGGAGCATCCATTACGAACTCTAAATATGTAATTTGAAACAATTCCGGTGAATAATGAGGTAAAAATCATCAAAATACCGAATTTTGGGAGGTACCGTTGTATGAGGGCTATACGAAGACGTGGATCTGAATATTAATTCCTTTGACACTTTGCCAAAAAATTATGTATCAAGGGAGATTTTGACTTGGGTTGGAAGCGTGATACATTAACGGTGTTCGAATGCCTTGCATTGATTCACAATAGGCAAGGTATTTGAGGTTGATGTTTTAATGTTTACTAACTGAAACATCAACTTAATATAATAGCTTGCCTTGCGGCCACTTAACTTAATCGATTAGCTAAAATAAAATACGTTGCGGAAATTATTTATATCAATTGAGGAAATTACGTTTGGTTTTCAAACAACTTTCTTCTAATACTGTCTTTGCTACACTATTTGTAACTCTAGCAATTAACCACAAGATTTATTGCCTATATAAACCCAAATTCTAACTCAGAATCTTCAGACACAAATTAACCGATCTCTTGTTAAGAAATCAAATTCATTAGAAATCAAATCAAATCCAATATGAATTTCTTGCATCTCTTCACTCTGGTTGCCCTTATATTGGCCATTGCTACCGGTCAAATTGAGGCCAAGGGCAAAAAAGGCGGAAATAAGGGAGATTATATTAGAGCTGGCGTAAGTTGAAGAACGTGTAGAATATACGACATATTTTGTAAAAATGGATGAAAAATTAAAATAAATGATTATTTATCCCTCCCTCTAGAGCCATATGGCCGGCAAAGCTGTTGAAGGTCTTGGCGCTGCCGTTGTCGATAAAATTGGATAATTGGAACTTATTGAAGTTACATGAATTTCTGTAGTTTATATGATTTATGAAAAAAGTAAAACGTTTCAAAATAATTATAACTTTTATAATTCCTAAATTCGAATAAATTTTATTTCGTGAAAATAACTAATTTTGGTCAGATGTCCTAAAACCTTCTTTTTATTTTTTTTATTGGATAATTTTTCTCTTTCGAGTTGAGCATATAGTATATAAGGAGATGACATTAAAAACTGGGATCTAACGAAGTCTCACGCATTAACCAGCATGCGATTTGTTCGCCGTTGTTTCAGCGGCTCATCTGGCATATTGGATGCCATTTTAGTGGCTATATTGCATCTACATTCTCAAAAAAAATATTCCGTAATTTTTTATTGTACTTTTTTCAAGTTCACGTCGTAAAGTAACATAAAATTTCATATTAGGCAGAAATTTTCAAAAAAAAAAAAAAAAAAAAAAAAACTACACAAAATTTCACTATAAACCTCAAAATAAACCATATATTGTTAAGAATAAAAATGTAATAATTTTTAAGAAAATTAAAGTTGAATATTTATGTACTTCTACTACTACTTATGGTAAAAATCCAGAATACAAATTACTTTTCTTCAGAGACTCACAATGAAATTTCATATAGAATAATTCTTCATTTTATACTTTCTCCAGAAAATTATGTATGAAGTGGGATTTTGTCTTTGTTTGGAAGCGAATTTCGGTTTAAATTTTTTTTAAAAACTATTGTAATTAGATATTTGATTTAGTTTGAGATTTATAGTAAAATTTAGTGTAGAATATTTTTTCTTTTGAAATTTTTTGAGATTTTATGTTACTTTCAAGGGTCAACTGGAAAAAAGTCCGAGGAAAATTGATAAAAAAAATTATGGAATATTTTCGGATATTTTTTCTTTTTTGAGAATATTGATGCAAATATTTTCTTGATATATATTGGAAGTGCGAATTTCTTTTCTGTGGTGAATTATAGTGAAATTTGATGTAGAATATTTGTTCCTTTGACACTTTAAAAAAAAAAAAAAGATGGATTAAGGGAGAGTTTTTTCAGGAGTCAAACAAAAAACAAAATTAACCGTAAACAAGTAAAACAGCTGTAAGTTCGGCCGGGCCGAACTTTTAATACCCTCCACCATTTGGTACAAATTTGGCAATTCCCCAAAAATAAAACCCGTTAAAAATTCTGTTAAAATCTTAAAAATACCGAATGCTTATACGACGACGTGGGCCTGCATAGGCAACTTTTGTCATAAATTATTACAATATTTAAATGCGAAACTTGAAGAAAAATCTGTTTATAATGTAGCTAAAATCGTCAAAATACCGAATATGGGGGGTACCGTTATATGGGGGCTATACGAAGACGTGGACCTACATGGCTCATTCTTTGACTTTGGATGTAGTATCCACTACGAACTTCAAATACCAAATTTGAAACGATTCCGTTAAACAATGTCGCTAAAATCATCAAAAAACCGAATATCGGGGGGTACCGTTATATGGGGGCTACAGGAAGACGTGGACCTGCACAGATAATTTTCTGTCTTAGGCTGTAGCATCCATTACAAACTTCAAATGCCAAATTTGAAATAATTCCGGTGAATAATGTCGCTAAAATCATCAAAATACCGAATATCGGGAGGTACCGTTATATGGGGGCTATATGATAACTTGGACCTACATGGCCCATTTACGAACTTAACCTGCCTACTGGGAAAAAATACATGTGTGCAAAATTTTAGCCTTCTATCTCAATTCGTTCGAATGATAGCGTGATTACAACAGACAGACAGACAGACAGACAGACAGACAGACGGACAGACAGACAGACACACAGACAGACAGACGGACATGGCTAAATCGTCTTAGAATTTTACGCTGATCAAGAATATATATACTTTGTTGGGTCTGACATGAATTTTTCGAGGAGTTACAAACTGAATGACAATATTAATATACCCTCCATAGTATGGTGGAGGGTATAACAAGTAAAAAAACATTAAGTTCGGCCGGGCCAAACTTTTAATACCCTCCACCTTAGGGTAAAAGAAACATTAGAAGAAATGTGGCAAAAACCATTAAAATGCCGATTATGGGGAGGTACCGTTATATGGGGGCTATACCAAAACGTGGACCTATAATTACAATGTTTCGCCACCGGAGCTGGAACCCATTATGACCCACAAATACCAATTTTTAGACAAATCAGTGAAAAAATGTGGCAAAAACCATCAAAATACCGAATATCGGGAGGTACCGTTATATGGCGGCTATATCAAATCATGGACCCATACATGCAATGTTTCACCACCGAAGCTGGAACCAATTATGACCAACAAATACCAATTTTCGAACAAATCCCTGAAAAAATGTGGCAAAAATCATCAAATTACCGAATATCGGGAGGTACCGTTATATGGGGGCTATACCAAAACGTGGACCTATAATTACAATGTTTCGCCACCGGAGCTGGAACCCATTATGACCAACAAATACCGATTTTCAGACAAATCCGTGAAAAAATGTGGTAAAAAAAATTAAAATACTAAATATCGGGAGGTACCTTTATATGGGGGCTATACCACAACGTGGACCTATACATGCAATGTTTTGCCACACGCTCAGGGACCCGCTATGACCTACAAATACCAATTTTAAGACAAATCTGTGAAAAAATGTGGCATAAATCATCAAAATACCGAATATCGGGAGGTACCGTTATATGGGGACTATACCAAATTATGGACCCATACATGCAATGTTCCGCCACCGGAGCTGGAAACCATTATGACCCACAAATACCAATTTTTAGACAAATCGTTGAAAAAATGTGGTAAAAAAAAACTAAAATACTAAATATCGGGAGGTACCTTTATATGGGGGCTATACCACAACGTGGACCTATACATGCAATGTTTTGCCACACGCTCAGGGACCCGCTATGACCTACAAATACCAATTTTAAGACAAATCCGTGAAAAAATGTGGCATAAATCATCAAAATACCGAATATCGGGAGGTACCGTTATATGGGGACTATACCAGAACGTGGACCGATATATCTCATTTTCAATACCAACCATCCTAGACACAATGCAAATAGCTCTGCTAAATTTTGGAGCTCTACGTCAAATAATGTGGGCTGTATCGTGATTTCAACAGACAGACAGACAGACGGACAGACAGACAGACGGACATCGTTAAATCGAGTTAGAATTTTATGCTGATTATGAATATATATACTTTATGGGGTCTAAAACGAATATTTAGGGATGTTACAAAAGGAATGACAAAGTTAATATACCCTCCTTTCCAAGGTGGAGGGTATAAAAATATTCCATAATTTGTTTGATCGATTTTTACACCTTGGACGTTTTTCGAGTTGAGGCCGCAAAGTAATATAAAATTTCATTTTAGGCGGGTGATTTCAAAGGAAGAATTGTTCTACACAAAATTTCACTATAAATCTTGGAATAAATCGTACATCTAAGTACAATAGTTTTTGAGGAAATTAAACTCGAAATTTATGTACTACCAGTAAAAATTTTAAGTTTACGCTTTTTTACTGTTAATTTAACACATGTGTATTCTAAGTCAAAATCTCCCTTAATACATCATTTTTTGGGGAAAGTTTCAAAAGAACAAATATTCTACATCAAATTTCGCTATAAGTCACCAAATAAAATAAATCTGTACATCCAATATATATCAAGATAAATTTGGCATCAATGTGTTAAAAAAAAAATCTCGAAAATATTGCTTAATTTTATTTTGATCAATTTCCCCTCGGACTTTGTTCGAATTTACCCCTGAAAGTAACATAAAGTTTCGTTTCGTACTATTTAGTACTTTTTATGAACTTTCCACATTTCCAACTCCACCTCTTTACCACAAAACTACAACCAACAGGATCCCCAAATTCCAAATCCAAATTTAATACCATTTAGTACCGTTCGCACATTTAGTACACATTTCCAAAAATCGTTTTCATATGACAAACTTATTATCCAACTTTGATTCTCGTATCAAATTTTAAATATTAGTAACATTTTCGAAGTTTTGTGCCATTTTGGATTTTTTCGTTCGAGTTGGAACTTAAAGTTCAAATTTCCAGAAACCATCTCATTTCAAATGTTTTAAATTTAGCTCTTTTTTCATAATCTGCTGAATTTTTTCTGTAATGTTTTTTTTTTCGTTTCTTCAATTTATATAAATATTTTTTATTGTAACTGCAAGTCATAATATTTTATTGGAAAAATTCAAGTTTTTAAGTTATTTTATATGTAGCCATGTGGCGGTTGCTGTGGCCAAAACGGCTGGGTGAAAATGCGTCAGAACTTAATATTTATTCCCCAGTAGTTCTATGATATCTAATCTCTCGCGTTACCAAAATAAAACAAAAAAATACCAAAAATTAAAAAAAAAATGTTCAAATTAGAGAATTTTCAAAACTCATTTAATTTAATGCCGTTCAAATATGCCTTCTTTACATTTTTTCCTTCTGCAGGACTTTTGGTATTGAAAATGGGCCAGGTAGGTCCACGTCTTCGTATAGCCCCCATATAACGGTACCTTCCCAGATGCGGTATTTTGATGATTTTAGCGACATTATTTACCAGAATTGGTTCAAAATTAATATTTAAAGTTGGTAATATATACTACGGCTTAAGACAGAAAATGGGCTATGTAGGTCTACTCCTTCGTATAGCCCCCATAAAACGGTACCCCCCGATATTCGGTATTTTGATGATTTTAGCGACATTATTTACCAGAATTGTTTCAAAATTAATATTTAAAGTTCGTAATACATACAACAGCATAAAACAGAAAATGGGCCATGTAGGTCCACGTCTTCGTAGAGCCCCTATATAAGGGTACCTACCGATATTCGGTATTTTAATGATTTTATGGACATTTTTCACCAGAATTGTTTCAAATTTGGTATTTAAAGTTCGAAATGGATACTACAGCCTATGACAGAAAATTGTCTAAGCAGGTCAACGTCTTCGTATAGCTCCCATATAACGGTACCTTCCAATATTCGGTATTTTGATGATGTTAGCGTCATTATTCACCAGAATTGGTTCAAATTACGTATTTAGAGTTCGTAATGGGTACTACAGTCAGTGGCAGAAAATTGTCTAAGCAGGTCAACGTCTTCGTATAGCCCCCATATAACGGTACCTCCCAAAATTTGGTATTTTGATGATTTTAGCGTCGTTATTCACGGGAATTGTTTCAAATTACGTATTTAGAGTTCGTAATGGGAACTATAGTCTGTGACAGAAAATTGTCCATGCAGGTACAGGTCTTCGTATAGGCCCCATATATCAGTACCTCCCTATATTCGGTAGGTACAATACCCATCGAAATTTTTTGAGATGTCGTATTGACGTTCGTAATGGATGCTATAGCTTGTGACAGAAAATTGTTTCGAATTTGAATATGGTAATGGCTTATGACAAACAAGGCCTATGTAGGTCCACGTCGTATAGACCCCAATATAACGGCTATTTTCGGTACTTTTTAAAATTCTAACAGAAGGACTTTATTTTTTGAAAATTTCCAAATTTGTTCCAAATGATGGAGGGTATTCAAAGTTCGACACGGCCGAACTTATTGCTTTTTAACTTGTCATACTTCATCTGGTACATGTAAACATACTGGTATTGGCAAATCGAACATTTATATCCAATTTTATGCGAAATCATAAATTTCTTATTCATCATAAGTTTCTATATGATTGACTAACTTGAATCTTGAAATTTTGGGAATCTTGAAAGCCAGGGTTTTTGGAAATTCATACTAGAACGGTACGAAAAGTAAAAAAAGGTACTAAATATGGTACCCTTTGTATTTGAGGAAGCAGTAGAGCTAGAACTCTTAAATTTGGAATGGGGGTCATTGATGGAAAGTATGATAGTGAAAGTTGTAATTAATGTTAGTGGCGGAGAGTAGCATTTGTATATGGAGGTAGTTTTAGAAAATTTTACTTATGAATGGTACTAATCTTAGTACAAATTGGAAGTATGGTAAACCGATAGATCTGGAATTCTGAAATTTAGAAATAAAATTACTATTGCATTCTAGGAATGAGAAATGTATATAGTTTTGGAAATTCGTACTTTTTTGTACTAAATGGTACTAAATCTGGCATAATTTAAATTTGGGAGAATCAATAAAGTTGGAATCCTAAAATTTGGAAATAATATTTTTATTGAACTTACAATGTAGGCAGTTTTGGAAAATTTGTACTCATATGTACCAAAATGTACTAAATTTGGAACACATTGGATTTAGGTGAACCAATAGAGCTGGAATCCTGAAATTCGGAGTGTGTTGGAGTGTTGGACTGTGTACTGGTTTTGGAAATTCGTACTTTTGTGTACTAAATGGTACAATTTTTATTTAGACGAACCGATAAGAATGGAATGATGAACTTTGGTGTTGGGAATACTGGGGAGTGTAGGATTGGGTTAAGTAGGAAGTTTTGGAAATGTGTACTTATCTGTACTATATGGTACTAAATTTGGTACAATTTGGATTTAGGCGAACCAATAGGGCTGTAATCCTGATCTTGGTTATTGAAATGCGTACTTATGTGTACTAAATGGTACTAAATTTGGTACAAGTTGGAATTGTGTAGAGCTGAAATTTTGAAATTTGTAATAGGATTTCTTTGGGATTGTATGATGGAGGCATGGAGGTAATTTTGAAAATTTGGAGTGTAGGAAGCTTTCGAAATTCGTACTTATATGTACTAGGTTTTTTCTTGCAGTTTGGATTTGTGTGAACCGATAGGATTGAAACCAGAAATTTGGAATTAAGATTAATATTTTATAGGATCGTGATATGCAGAAACTTTTGGAAATTCGTACTTTTGGAAAATTCGTGTACTAAATGGAACTAAATTTGGTATAAATTGGTTTTGGTTGAACCTATGAAGCGGGAGTTCTGAAATTTGGTATTATTTTTGGAAATAAGTAATACAAGAGTACAAAAAGTAAAAAGTGATACAAAATTTAGTATTGATTATATGGATAGAGTTAGAATTCTAAGTTTTAGTGTTGGGGCCAGAACTGGTGTGTAGTATACGTACAATAGATGTACGAAAGTTATTAAATGGTATTAAAATTTTAATGATGGTCGATATTGATGTCTAGTTTTGAAATAAAAAAGTACTAAATGGTACTAAATTTGGTATTTAGATAAGATATTGAGTTGGAAATCTAAAATTTGGATAAGGATCCCCTTTTGTGCGGTTTACCTACTAACGGAAAATACTAAAAAAGTATTAACTTTGGGGTTGGAAAAGAAATAGGGCTGGAAATCTGAAATTTGAGTCCTTGATGTTGTGTAGAATAAAAAAATTAAAGTGTTTTTCGAAATGAGTACCCGAAGCACTAAAATGCTCTAAATTTGGTACCATTTGAAATTATATAAACGGATAGGGGTAAAACCTTGAATTTGATATGAGAATCAAGACTGAGAAACAGGATGAATATAAGGTGGTTGTTTTGGTATATGTGGGATAGTGCTTGAAATCTCAAATTTGAGGATGGTATGATAATGGTGGGAAGATGGAGGGAATGAGATGGAAAAAATATTTTTCGAAAACTAGGTTACAATTATAATCTATATATCAATATTAATAGACAAGTAATAAAGCTGTATGTTCGGCCGGGCCGAAATTTGAATACCCTCTACGATTTGCTAAAAATTTAGCGATTTTCAAAAAAAAAAAAAATAAAATCCATTAAAAATTCTGTTAAAATTATAAAAATACCGAAAGTATCCGCATATTAAGGTCTATAGGACTACGTGGACCTTCATAGGCAACATTTGTCATAAGTTATTACAATATTCAAATGCGAAATTTGAAAAACATCTGTTTATAATATAGCTAAAATCATCAAAATACCGAATATAGGGAGGTATCATGGGGGTAATAAAACGTGGACCTGCACAGACAATTTCCTGCCATAGGCTGTAGTATCCATTACGAACTTCAAATGCGAAATTTGAAGCAATTCCGGTAAATAATGTCGCTAAAATAATCAAAATACCAATAATTGGGGGGTACCGTTATATGGGGGCTAGACGAAGACGTAGACCTGCAAAAACAATTTTTTTGTTATAGGCTGTAGTATCCATTACGAACTTCAAATGTGAAATTTGAAACAATTCCGCTAAATAATGTCACTAAAATCACCAAAATACCGAATATCGGGAGGTACCGTTATATGGGTGCTATACGAAGACGTAGACCTACATGGCCCATTTTCTGTCATAGGCTGTAGTATATATTACGAACTTCAAATACCAAATTTGAAATAGTTCCGCTAAATAATGTCACTAAAATCACCAAAATACTGAATATCGGGAGGTACCGTTATATGGGGTCTATACGAAGACGTAGACGTAGTATTCATTACGAACTTCAAATACCAAATTTGAAACAATTCCGATGAATATTTTCGCAAAAATCATCAAAATACCGAATATCGGGAGGTATCGTTATATGGGGGCTATACCAAAACGTGGACCTACATGGCCCATTTTCAATATCAAAAGTGCTGCAGACATTATACACATTTGAGTAAATTTTTATTAACTTACTTCGTTTCGTTCGGAAGCTAGAGTGATTTCAACAGACGGATAGACGGACGGACATTGCTATATCGATGATCAAGAATATATATAACAAAGTAGGTCTAAAATGTATATTTCGAGGATTTACAAACGGAATGACAAACTATGGTGGAGGGTATAAAAATAACCTGTCATAATTCACATAACTGGAATGAGGATTTTGTACGAACACCCTATCCAGCATCCAAAGTACCTCTACCCTCAGTAAAGCCGAATTGATACAGCGATGTACCCACTCCAGCACTTTTCCAAGCAATGAAAGATATTTTATGCCACGATAGGAGTGAGGGTCACTTCTTACCCTATTTGGCGACTTATATAGCACCCTTTCTACCACAAACGCGGGAAGTACCCTTGGCTCATGCAGAGACCCTCTGTAGCTGTCTGACTAACCACTTAATAAATAGTGGAATATTTTTGGCGCCCAAGATTTTTTTCTATTATCTTTAGAATATATAATGTCCCGCCATATAAATATAAGATTTGAAAATACAAAATTTAACTTAACTGGAATTAGAAAAATTTCAAAACTCTTCCAATTTAATACCGTTCGAATATGACTTCTTTAATTTTTTTCCCTTAAACTTCTCATAACTTAATATAAATTCCCTTCCTTCGAAGGATAATAATAATATTTTGAATTTTTTTGTTTTTTTTTTTATTCTCAAACAAAAGTTCAAAAATGAAATAATAAAACAAGTGGACAACAAAAAAAAAAAACCAAATACACAACATAAATAATACTTACCGGCACCATCACGCCATTCTTCGACACCATAGTCCGGCAATGAATTTGGATCTAATTTATTTTTATTACGGCGTTTGCCGTCTATTTTTGTGTCGATGGTACGGGAAGGCGGCGGGGAGGTGGAGAAGGCGAGAGTTTCATTTTTGCAGTGATTTCGAGTGTTTCGTTTTTTGTTGTTGTTGTTTTTTTGCATTCGAATTGGGTCCAGATGTTATTTGTTTAAGTGTGTGTGTGTGTGTGTGTGAGCGTTCGTTCGTAGATGTCAACGTTTGTTGGTGTTTATTTAACATTATTTTGTTTAAGGATTGTCCAAATAGGAGGCCCAGGAACATGGTTACAGCCAGGGGATTGAGTTCAAGTAAGGATGAGGATACAGCAGAGGCACACAATTACCCAGCAGATTGTAGACGAACAGACCAGAGAGCCATGACCAACCAGTCAGCCATCCAGTGAGAAAAAAACAGATTTGTTTTTCCACCAAAAACGGAATCACAGACAAACATACACACACAAAGACATTCATGTAACGGGAAATAGAAGGATAAAATAAATGTTTTTTTATTGTTGTTTTTGTTAAGTGTCCATTGTCGGGCGGGCAAGTTGTAAAAATGCAAAAAAGAAGGGAGCGGGGGAGATTGTTTGATAGATGTTTGTAGATTGTTTTTTGTTGTCGATGTTGTTGTACGCCAGCGTTTTATTATTGTGTTGTTGTGGAGGAATATGTTCACAGCCATGTTTTTAGTAGTTTTCCAAGGACCATAATTGTTGTTTGCATTAATAAAAAAAGAAGAAACAAAGGAGACGGAAAAGAAAGAAATGTTAGAAAAACCGATGGTGAGAATTTTGCTTCTAAACGAAATGAAACAAATTATCATTTAAATCTTAAGATTATTGCATTATAAGTTGAAGTTTTTTTGGGAGGAACATAAAATGTGAAGAGGAAATGGTGCGATTTGGTGCCAAATGTGCAAATTATAATACGGAATGGAAAAATCTCAAAAACGAAAGAGACATTTAATTATTTGTATAAAAATGCCAAGATTTTTGTAAAAATAATAGAAGGGCAGATTAACAAGTCCGCAGCTTTGCCAACTGTTTTCGTAGCTATATAAAGTGGAACTCCACTGTTTTTCTCGAAAATTTTGGAATATCGCCATGATTTTAACTATCAAGTTACAACTATTTCATCTCTATGATGTAGAAAATATCTTTAAGCTAACTATATCGAAAAACCGATATGTGAAATAACTTTCATATTTGAAAAATACAACTAAAATTTTTAAACATTTAAATCAGAATTCGTCATCAGGACTTTGTTGCAGTTCCACTGAAAAGAAGAACTCCAAGGTAAGTTAATTTCAGCTTGGAACCCACAATTGTCTCTTGTTTTGCTAAACTTCCAGAAACTCTTCGAAAATTGCAGAAACTTGTTCAAGTATGAGAATATAAAATATTTTTTTTTTCAAGATAAATAATGATCAAATCGGTTGTCTTCAAAATTCCAAAAACGCGACCTGTAGATATTTTTATACCTTCCACTATGTCATTTCGGTTGTAACATCTCGAAATATACATTTTAGACCCCACAAACTATATGTATTCTTGATCAGCAGAGAATTCTATGTCCGTTCGTTTCTCCATCCGTCTAGCCCCAATATAATGGTACCTCCCGATTTTCGGTATTTTGGTTATATAAGCGACATTATTCACCTGAAATGTTTCAAATTTGGTATTTGAAGTCCGTAATGGATGCCACAGCCTATGACCGACAATTGTCCGTGCAGGCCCACGTCTTCGTATAGCCCCCATATAATGGTACCTCCATATTTTCGGTATTTTGGTGATTTAAGCGACATTATTCACTGGAATTGTTTCAAATTTGGAATTTGAAGTTCAAAATGGATATTAAAGCCTATAATAGAAAATTGTCTGTTTTGGTATAGACCCCATGGTACCTCCCTACATTCGGTATTTTGATGATTTTAGCCACATTATTCATCGATTTTTTTTTTAGTTTCGCATTTGAATATTTTAATGACTTACGACAAATGTTGCCTATGCATGTCCACGTCGTCGTATAGACCCTAATATAACGGCTACATTCGGTATTTTTAAAATTTTAACAGAATTTTTAACGGATTTAATTTTTTGAAAATTGTAAAATTCGTTCCAAATGGTGGAGGGTTTTCAATTTTCGGTCCGGCCAAAATTATAATTTAAAAAATAATTTGGTGGGGAAATTATTATAATTTTACGTGTATAGCACAGATAGTCCTTGAAAAAAGATTCTTTGAAAATTCCACGACTATAGCATTGTGTATCCTTGTAAATAAATGATTTGAAAAGCAATGTAAGTTTATAACTTTGGTGGCCCTTAGGAAAACAATCCTTAAAAACTCAAGATTATTGTTGCGTTAAACTTTGAACATTTTCACTAGAAACTAATTTTATAGCTTTGATGATCCTTGAAAAAATATTCCTTAAAAAAAATCCACGATCATTGCCTTTGGAAAAAAAATTTAATAAAAACATTTTCCTTGGATTTTTTTAATCAAATCATTTTAGATCGGAAATCGTTTTTCAAATACGGCCAAGGCTTCAAGGTCGTATTCGAAAAAAAAACAATATTCTTTAAAAATTCCACCGTTATTGTGGTGAAATTCAAAGACCTAAAATGGTAAAGACTAGACAAAATGCATTCTGACCAAATGGTTTGTGTCTATACTATCTATATAACAGTCCATGGGAGGAAAATGTTAATACCAAAAACACATTTATAGAAAAAATTGACAAACAAAAGTTTGAAAAATCCAAAAATTGGGTTTCAAAATTCTATTCCATAGACTTTCCAAATAAATTGCATATTGCCTAAGCGGTTTAAATCGCATAACATTGCTAACTATGTTGTTACGATATCATAACAACAGACGTATTTTTACAGGGTTGCCATATTTTTGCTCTGTCTTGTCCTATCTTTACACTTCTATGTCTTTGTGAAATTCTTTGTAAAAAAATTAAAAAACATTCTACTCTTTGGTCCTTGAACAGATATTCTCTGAAAATCCACTTTTTAGCCTTGATTGTAATTGAAAATATATACTTGTAGACATACATTTTCTTGGCCGTCGAGGGCCTTCAAAAATTTTCTTAAAAAATCCACTTTTATAGTTTTGATGGATTTTCAAAAACTATTCATAAAAACGCCACGGGCAATTATTGTGGCAATTGAACTTGGATGAAATGACTGTCAGTCAAGTAAATCGTTAGAGATATAGACCCTCACAGATCTTTGTTAAATTTAGCAGAGGGTTTTATTTCCTGTATCAGATAACTATATGCCAAATTCCATCCTAGTTGGGGTTATATTACACATTTGGTGCACAATGAAAGGCAACCCGGAGCTATGGGAGCTATATCTAAATTTTGACCAATTTTATTAGCGTTTGTCCTTGGGCCAAACAAATGATCTGGGCAAAATTTCATCACAATCGAGCAATGAATGAGACCTGTAGTTTTTTCACAAAAACACGTGAACGCACGACAAAAGGAAGGAGGGACAGACGAACGGACATACATCCAATCCATCCAATTTGGGCTGATATTACATATTTGGTTCACAATAACGGTGAAATCGTATGAAGCCAGCGGATGGAAGCCATATCCAAAATCTGATCTCGATATAATTTTAGAGAGGTACTTCTGGGCTGTATCCATATCTGCTACAAAAAAAAAAAAAAAATGTTGTGAGGTGCACATTGCGAATTTAAGGGACTTAAATACCCAATCGTATGTAACGTATACATGGAAGCTTCTAAGATAAATTCGGCTGGATGTGCCAAAATACATCCTATGAGTATTACATATATATCACCAACAAAATTGAAATTGGACATGGGAGCTCTATCTAAATTTGGAAAAATTCGGTGGCCAAAAATAGATAATGTTGGCAAAAATGGTTGTTTTTTGGCCCTTACTGATAGCTAACAATGTTGAGGACCAAAAATTGGAGAGATCGATCTGCGTTTTTGTGTAGACTCCCTTAAACGGTACCTCATGATATTCGGTACTTTGAATATACTTTGATTTAAATCCACTTTTTCTAATAAAATTGTTTGAATTTCCCTACTTAAAATTCATTATGGGTTATATCTACTGAAATAACATTGTCTACATATGTCCAAAGTTATCCTATAGTCCTCACTAAAAGTTATGGAAAGATTTAAAGGGCACAACACTTTTAAAATAATAAAAAATTGGTATTATGTGGACAAATAGAGCGAAAACACATCAAATTTGGTATGAGGATCAATGTTGGGAATTAAGTTTGAAATATGACGTTGGCTTTGGAAATCTGTATTAAGTGTGCTGTACTGTACGAAAAGTACTAAATGGTTCTAAATTTGATATTTTGTGAAAGGGATGGGGCTGAAATCCTTAAATTTGATATTTATTTCTCTGTTGGTATCTGGAATTATGATATAGAGGTGGTTTTGGAAATGTGTACTATAATTGTACGAAAAGTACTAAGTGGTACTATATCTGATATTGTGTAAAGGTATAGGGCTGGAATCCTCAAATTGGATATTGAGGCCTATGTTGTTATATGGAATTGAGATAAAGATGTGGTTTAGAAAATGTGTACTATAATTGCACGAAAAGCAATTAATTTGTTATTATGTGAAAGGGTGGAGCTAGAATTCTGAAATTTGATATAGATGTCACTATTGGCGTTAGTGGTTGAGAGAAGGAGGTATTTTTGAAAATGCGTACTATAACTATTTAAATTAGTACCAAATTGTAATAAATTTTGCTATTTGAGAAATTAAAGAGCTGAAATCCTGAAATATCCTGAGAAAACTTTAGTTTCGTTTGCTTTAAAAATTTTTAAAATTTGAATATTCGACTTTCATAAAGGTAGTGGGCTTTTACTTTTTTATCACTGAAAGATAAAATTGTATAAAATTTATATTTTTTAAAAGATCTGCATTTTAATTTTTAAAAAATGAAAATGTAAGCGTGGCAATGAAAAAAATTAATAAAGCACTATTACTCAACTATCTACTTTCAAACATTCGACAATACATACCATAGCTGCGATTTAACATGGCCATCTCGGATAGGATTGCTGTAGTGGGTGCTGGCATTTCTGAAAAAAAAAAATATTGAAAATGAAATGAAATTAGATAAATTAAATCCAAATTTCGTTCCCTTAGTATATTTGGGATCTGTTTCTGTATGCAGATACAAAAGTGAATGTTAAAGAAAAATAACACTCCAAATGGGGTTCTTATTTTTTTTTATTTTACTCAAAAATAAAAAAATAAAATAAAAAAAATATAAAAATTAAAACAAACATTTAAAAAATTAAATTTTACTTTTTTTAGTATGTAGAAAAAAAATTAGATAAAATATGAAAATTAAAAAAAAAATCTTTGAAAAATAAAAAATAATGAAATGTCAAAATTCGGGCGGGATCAACTATATGATATCCTACACCACTATGCCTATTTATATGGGGGCTATACGAAGACGTGGACCTACATGACCCATTTACGAACTTAACCTGCCTACTGGCAAAATATACATGTGTGCAAAATTTTAGCCTTCTATCTCAATTTGTTTGAAAGATAGCGTGATTACAACAGACAGACAGACGGACAGACAGACAGACACAGAGACAGACAGACGGACATGGCTAAATGGTCTTAGAATTTTACGCTGATCAAGAATATATATACTTTGTTGGGTCTGACGTGAGTATTTCGAGGAGTTACAAACGGAATGACAAAATTAATATACCCTCCATAGTATGGTGGAGGGTATAAAATTCGGGCGGGATCGACTGTATGATATCCTACAATATAAACTATTCAAGTTGGTCTGGTATTACATATATTGCGAGGAATAAACGTAAAATCGGATGAAGGTGTATATCGAAGCTATATAAAAATCTAAACCTATGTCGATAAAATATGGCAGAGGCATCTTCGAGCAGTATATGGCAGAGGCATCTTCCGGTATCAAATATCACTGTTGTGGAGTGCATATTACGCATGTGATTAACTTAAACCCCCAAATCGGATAAAACAAATATATGGGAGCTATAGCTATATCTGAATCGATTTTCTCCAAATTTGACACACCTGGTTCTAGACTGAATTCGGTTGGATGTGCCAAAATTATTTGGACTGATATTGGCCATTTGGTATACAATTAACTCGAAATTGGTTGTAGAACCTATATCTATGTAGGACATATATCTAAATGTGGACTGATTCTTTCAACAGGGTTCGTCCTTGGACAAAATAAATTATTGGTGCAAAATTTCATCTCGATCGGACAATAAATGCGACATGTACTTTGTTTACAAAAAATACATAAACAGATGGACGGACTGACATGCATTAATCAACTCAGAAAGTGACTCTATGAAAATGGGTCTATCTCGCTTCCTTCTCCATGTTACAAACAAATGCACAAAGACCTACTACCCTTACCACTATGTGGTGTAGGGTATGAAAATTAAGTACAAGCTTCAATCTCTTAATATAATTGGGGGCCTGTTTCGGTATGTCGATACAAAAGTGAATGTGAAAGAAAAACACCATTCCAAGCAGGTTTTTAAAATTTTGGATTTTATTAAAAAAATTAAAAAAGTAATAATAAAAAAAACCTTTAAAATTTTGACTTTTACTCCAAAAACAGATAATCCAAAAATAGTAAATAAATAATTTTCGAAAAAAAAAACATTTGGAAGTTCAAGAAAAGTCCCTTAATTTCAAATTTTCTCATAAAAAAAATTAGAAAATTCAGCTTCCCATTTGAATGTCTTTTCCAGATATTTTTATTGCTTTGTTTATTTTTCCTATTCCATAGCAATTTTTATGATCCTTAAAATAAGCATTTACAAATATATTTTGTCAAGCTTACCATCTAATTTGATATTGCCATCCGTTTCGCCTAATGAATTCTTCGCCACGCATCGATAGGTGCCAAAATCGTTGGGTCCAACATTACGAATTTTCAATTTCATATGCTTCATATAGCCGTTGACAATGGATGCGGTTTCGTATTTATCGCCGGCACGTGAGGTATCTGGAAAGAAAACAATAAAGGGAAAAAGAAAAAATGAGAGGAGAAGAAAAATTCAAGACTTCTTTTAGGAATTAAAATAGTTTTTTTTTATCAACGAAGACGGGGAGGGCAGCAAGGGCGATAAAAATAAGGGAATTTGGAGGAAAGTCTTTCTAGATTTTTATATGGATTTCTGAGAGAAATAAATTCTAGGACTTATATATCTTTCAGAGATCTATATATTCTATCTATTAGGCCCATGAATATACGGGGCGAGATGAGGAAATTGTAACCAACTTCAGACTGCTGTCATTTTTAAGCCACTCGCCCGACAGCTGTTAAAATTATTCCAGTGACAGCTCATTATATTGTTTACAAGCGTACAAAAGCATTTTGGCGAGAATTTTCCAGAAAAAAAGTTATTCGTGATGGAATTCAAACGTGATAGTGTGCTTTCTTGATATTTGGCTGGCAAACCACAAGAGGCTATCGTTAGAGTACTCCAGTATCTCGTTACCTTGATACTGGAATCGTAGCCCGACGTCAAGGAAGTGGACGCAAGAAAACAACAACATCAGCAGAAATGGTTCGAAAAATTAAGAAGAAGCGACTTGATAGGAACCCTTGTCGCAGTGGCCGAAAAATGGCTCGTGAGCTGAACATATCGCAATATTCCATTTGGCAAATATTGAAAAATGAGCTCAGAGTAAAGCCATTGAAATTCCAAAAGGTGCAAGAACTTACACCGCAACAGAAAGAAAATAGACTCAAAAGAGCTAAAGAGTTGCTTCGCTTGGCCGAAAGTGGTGAACTACCGAATTTGGTTTTCTCCGTCTCCGATGAGAAAATATTCGTTATCTAGCAGTTTGTAAACAAACAAAATGGTCGGATGTTTACTTGCCGAAGAGGTCAGCTGAAAATGTGCACCTTCGGTTGGCCACCGGAACTCAAGCGCCGGCCATGGCGATGATGTGGGCCGCCATAACAGTCGATGGTCGCTCTCCACTCGAATTAATCGACCTTGACATCAGAATAAATGCCGAATATTATCGCGAAAACATTCTGGAGGGTGTATTAAAGTCGTGGCATCATAATAAATGCCGAATATTATCGCGAAACTATTCTGGATGGTGTAATAAAGCCTTGGGCACGCAAAAATTTTGGCCGCAGACCGTGGACATTCCAACAGAACTCAACACCATTGCACTCAACAAAATGTGGTTCCTCGCTTTATTTTCAGCACACAATGGCCACCAAAATCTCCGGATACCAATCCGTTGTACTATTGCGTCTGAAGTATTTTGGAAAGCAAGTTTGGCACTAAAACATACCAAAGTGTCGATCACCTCAAGCAAGCGCTTCGCCGGACCAATATTCGGGCAGCGTGAGACGGTTTCATTGGCTGTTTGAAGACCATATTTCGTGCCAAAGGTGATCAATTCGAACAAACCTAAACTTATTCTAAAATTTGATTCTATTTCCAACAATTTTTGTTTTCATCCAAAAAACAAAAAAAAAAAAAAAAGGTAACCAGTGAAGAAAGTCTTAAAGTCGTGCGGGGCCGACTTTATGATACCCTACACCACTTTGCTAATTTAGTAGATATCCACATAACAATTAAAAATTTTTATGGGAGAATTCAAATATACACGCTATGATTATAATTATAATTTAAAGTTCAATGGACTAAATATGCCGAAGCATTTGTATCTTTTAAATTCGGACATGTATTGCCCATTTGATATATACGGGAGCTATATCCAAATCTGAACCAATCTCTATAAAATTTTGGCAAAGATATTTCCTAACTGTATTTCATATATTTCCCTGAATATTGTTCTTACGGAGTGCATATTATGGCTGTGGGTAACAAATATGAAAAATCGGATGAATAGTATATATGGGAGCTATAGCTATATCTGAACCGATCTTCATCAAATTTGACATACTAGCTTCTATACTCAATTCGGTCGTAAGTGCCAAATTTCATCCCACTTGGGCAAATATTAGTCGTTTGATGCACAATAAAAAGTAAATCGGACGAAGTTATATGTGGCAGATATATCCAAATCCGAAGCGATCTCAATAAAATTTAGCAAAGGTATTTCTGAGCTGTATTTGATATATTTCCCCAAATATTGTTGTAACAGAGTGCTTATTACGGCTGCGGAGGACAAAAATAACAAATCGGATGAGCGCTATATATGGGAGCTATAGCTATATCTGAACCGATTTCGATCAAATTTGGCATACTTATTTTCAGGCCTAATTTGGTTGTATGTGCAAAATTCCATACTATTCGGGATGATACTACACGTTTGATGCTCAATAAAAGGCAAATCGGACGAAGATATATGCGAGCTATATCTAAATTTTTACCGATTATCTCCAATTTCAATAGGGTTCGTCCTTGGGCCAAACAAATGATTTGTGCAAAATTTTATCTGGATAGGGTAATAAATGCGAATAAAAAAACATGGACGGACGGACGGACGGACGAACGGGTGGACGGACAAACTGACGGACATGCATAAATCGATTCAGAATGTGATTCTATGCAGATCATCAAAAGGAGCTATAGGTCTATCTCGTTTCCTTTTGCCTGTTACAAACAAATGCACAAAAACATAATACCCTAGCCACCTTGTGGTGTAGGGTATACAAATTATGCCGTTTGATTTTGTTGCAGTTTTTTTATCTCACCCTGTATATGCACTTTTAATAGATTTCTCAGAGATATAAATCCTTGAACTTATATCTCTCATAAATATGTTTATTCTATATATTCAGGGTCAGACCCATGACTAGAAGTATTACCCGGTATGACCTTCTAAAGCTACCTTTAAGGACAAATTAACTTTTTTCTAACCAAAAGGTCCTTTAAGTGTTCCCAAAAAAACGGAAAAATCCATTTTTTCCCCTATAACATGATTTTCTATTTGTTAAACAAAAAAAAAAAAAAAAACTTAAGTTCGTAAACTTCGCCTTCCCCTTCCTAAAGTTTTTGTAAATTAACAAAACACACCTTGCTAATGATTCAAACTTCGATTTGTTTTAGCAACGACGAGAAAAAAAATCAAACACAACATGCCATGGCATGAAAACTTTTACCATTAATCAGGGCGATACCATTCAACCCCGCCTGCCCCTCTCACCAAATTCTGTTTTGGAAACAATGAATAACTTTTTTTTTCCCCCAAAAATGAAATTATTTGAAAAATGATACCCGCCGAATTTTCAACAATTATATTTAATATTAGTTTTAATTTTCAAAATTAAAAAAAAAATATTTCTCAATCTATTCTGTATCTATGTTGTTGCGCGGTTTATAAATTTTAATGAATTTATTTTAAAATTACTAGCAAAAAATTTATTTTTTTTGGACAATTAAAACGAGAGCTAGAGAGAGAGACAGAGAGACAGGAAAAAAAAAGATTTCCCAACCAAATTAAATGCAACCAAAATTCAAATTATCAAAATCCGCTTAAAAACATCGATTGCAATTTTCCAATTTGTTCCGCTCGATTGTGAAAAATTATTAATTTGCACAAAGTTGGCGCTGTGTGTTATTCGTTGTGTTGTATGTTGCGTACGCCGATATGTATGTGTGTATGTCTGTGGCTGAATATCTGTTGTATATGTGGTCAAATAACAATTTTTCATGCCGAACACATAGCCTTAATTTGCTATCCACAAAAATTTGAATATTAGGGTGGAAATATTCAGAAGGCAGACTAGAAAGTAACAGTGGGATTTGCTTTGATAGGATATAGGTTATGGATATTTATTGGACCATTTTGTAATATTTATAATAAGGACAATATGTGTGGAGGATACACAGATTATTCTCTAGGTGTCCTTATTTTTATTTCGAAATCCTTTGATGGTCCTTGAAAAAAATATTCTTTAAAAAATCCACGTTTCTTCAACTGATAGTCCTTGGAAAAATATTCTTTAAAAAATCCACGGTCTTCAACTGATGGTCCTTGGAAAAATATTCTTTAAAAAATCCACGTTTCTTCAACTGATGGTCCTTGGAAAAATATTCTTTAAAAAATCCACGTTTCTTCAACTGATGGTCCTTGGAAAAATATTCTTTAAAAAATCCACGTTTCTTCAACTGATGGTCCTTGGAAAAATATTCTTTAAAAAATCCACGTTTCTTCAACTGATGGTCCTTGGAAAAATATTCTTTAAAAAATCCACGTTTCTTCAACTGATGGTCCTTGGAAAAATATTCTTTAAAAAATCCACGTTTCTTCAACTGATGGACCTTGGAAAAATATTCTTTAAAAAATCCACGTTTCTTCAACTGATGGTCCTTGGAAAAATATTCTTTAAAAAATCCACGTATCTTCAACAGATGGTCCTTGAAAAAATATTCTTTAAAAAATCCACGTTTCTTCAACTGATGGTCCTTGAAAAAATATTCTTTAAAAAATCCACGTTTCTTCAACTGATGGTCCTTGAAAAAATATTCTTTAAAAAATCCACGTTTCTTCAACTGATGGTCCTTGAAAAAATATTCTTTAAAAAATCCACGTTTCTTCAACTGATGGTCCTTGAAAAAATATTCTTTAAAAAATCCACGTTTCTTCAACTGATGGTCCTTGAAAAAATATTCTTTAAAAAATCCACGTTTCTTCAACTGATGGTCCTTGAAAAAATATTCTTTAAAAAATCCACGTTTCTTCAACTGATGGTCCTTGAAAAAATATTCTTTAAAAAATCCACGTTTCTTCAACTGATGGTCCTTGAAAAAATATTCTTTAAAAAATCCACGTTTCTTCAACTGATGGTCCTTGAAAAAATATTCTTTAAAAAATCCACGTTTCTTCAACTGATGGTCCTTGAAAAAATATTCTTTAAAAAATCCACGTTTCTTCAACTGATGGTCCTTGAAAAATATTCTTTAAAAAATCCACGTTTCTTCAACTGATGGTCCTTGGAAAAATATTCTTTAAAAATCCACGTTTCTTCAACTGATGGTCCTTGGAAAAATATTCTTTAAAAAATCCACG